GCGCCGGTGCGCTGACTGGGTATCCTTCCGGGTCGCCACCCTTCTCGTTATCTCGCCCAGGCATGTTCGCAGCGTTCTGACTGGGGCCGCTTAGACTGTCGTCTGTAGCAGCGATTGCAGCGTCAAAAGACAGTCCGAGCAGCGCAGAAGCGGTGTGTGTGTGTGTGTCTGTGTGTGTGTCTGTGTGTGTCCGCGTGTGTATGTGTGTGTGGGGGTGGGGGACGGGGCGTGGAAAACAACAAATCAAGCCGAGAGCCAATTGTCGGGTCACGGCGGATTCGTGCGGCCTGAATGCGGCGGCAGCGCAGTCGTGGGCGTTCAAGGTTGAACCCCCCAGGCAGTCTTTGGGGACCCTAGACAGCGGAGACCGTTCGAGACTGGACGGTTCACACGGTGGCAGAAGCCATGGCCCACACCTTCATGACAGGGACTTGCCGCATCTACTTAAGAGGATGCACGCCATTCCGCAGACACTCGAAGGGTGGACGTAGCGAGTGCAATGTGGGCCGAAGGGAATGCCCGACTGAGGGAAAGCGTCGGCCGAGCCTGACCCGCCGAGGAATGGGACAGGGCCAGGGCGAGGACAGATCCGTTCCGGAGCGTTCCGAAACGCTCCCAGCTCGTTTCAGGAGGAGGAAGAACACACAGACACAATGAATCGTCGACTCCCAGGAAAGTAGGGGAAAATAGGGGAAGTGGGGGGGAGGACGAAAGTCCGGAAAGTATGAGAAACATGGGGGATCCTGGGATCTGTGTGTATTTATTTGTGTGTCCTTGGGCCCCTTCAGCGTTCCGTGACTCTCTGAGAAGGCCGCGGCGCTCGAGACATCTTCCAGAGCCGTCAGACCTCAGAGATTCTCGATGTAGCCGCACCCGATGGCGTCCTTGCCCTGGCCTCGTCTTGCAGCACGGCCAACCCGCATGTAGCAAGGATGGGCAACGTTCCCCTCCCGCTTTCGCTGGCCGCGCCCCGCCCGAGGTGGGCTTCCGAGGCCCCTTGCATCCTTACCGCGCATCCCTGCGACACGGGCCGACTGCAGAAGGCCAGCCGAGCTTGCCCCGCCAGGGGAGAGGCCGACGCTGGGGCCCCCATAGGGTGCCCGAGCTGGGCATCGCGGGGGCCCTCTCCAAAGAGAGGGGCCCCGCCGTCGGCGAGGCCCTCGCCAGGGAGGGGCCTCTTGTCCGGAGAGGGGCCCTCCTCCGCCTCCTCCTCCTCCTCCTCCTCCTCCCCCTCCTCCTCCTCCTCCTCCTCCTCCCCCTCTTCCTCCTCCTCCTCCTCCTCCAGTCCGCGGCGCGTGCGCCAGAGGGGAGGGCAGCAGCCGTGGCAGCGGCTCGGGCTCTGAGCCAGAACGGCGCGAGTCGGGAGGGGGAGGGAGGATCGGAGGAGGAAAAGGTACCCATACCGCTACCCTTCCCTCGTTTTCCCTTTTTTGGGCCTCCTGGGGGGCCCTCGTCGCCACCGCTGGATTCGCCTCGAAATCCTGGTCAGAACGCACCCCGGGAGAGGTCCATATGGTAGCGGTATCGGTACCTTTTGGCCCCCAAGAGGAAAGAGGGGGAAGAGCAGCGGGATTCGGTGTTTGATATACCTCCTACCCTGACACGTCGATGAGCGAATGGGCCGCTTGCGGTTCGCGAGAGGGCGTCGCGGCCGTCATTGTGGTGGGTCCAGGTCCGTCAGTTTCGGTCCCAGGCCGTTTTCACTAAGTGAGGCTTCCTACATGGAGGTTTGTGCACTGCCGAGGGATGGGGGGGAGAAAGAAAGATGGGAGGAGGAAGGAGTGGGGATGAACAGCAGGAGGGCTCGAGCCAGGATGGGGGAGGGAGGGAACAGGAGGGGGGAAGGCGCAGCAGGAGGAAGGCTTTGGGAGCTTCTGGAAGGTTCTAACGTCGTCTGTGGGTGAGTCGGCGGTTGCAGGGGGGCCCAGGCTGGGGACCGCATGCGAGCACGCCCACCGAGACCATAGGTGGAGCCCTCTATGGGGCGCGATCCATGTGATGGGTCCGCCAGCAGCGCAGCAGCGCAGCAGGGGGGACGAGGAGGAGGAGGGAGGAGGAGGAGGAGGAGGAGGAGGAGGAGGAGGAGGAGGAGGAGCAGCCTGCTGCATGGGGTCACTGTGGGAGTGGTTGCTGCTCACACGCACGGCGCGACGTTATCGAAGAGATCGTGCGGCCCGTGCGGCTGGTTGCAGCGCTAGGCGTGACCTTCTCCTTGCGAGTTTCCTATGGGGCGCGATCCATGTGATGGGTCCGCCAGAAGATTGGCCGGGGACCGCATGCGAGCACGCCCGCTGAGGCCGTGGGTGGAGCGACCCGTGTGAGGCGTGCGCCGACGTGGACATGCGGGCAACAGCATCAGCGGCACAGTCATTGGTCATTGGTCAGAGTATCACCACAATCCCAAGGACCCAACGACACAGGAGGATTGGGATCACATGTTCCACTCTAGCGGGACGTGTTGCAATGGCAATGACGCCAGCATTGCTCACTAGACGGACAGTGGCATCGCACCGCTATTGCTATCAGGGCTATCAGCATTGCCAATGTGCACATCATCGCAGTCATCCGTAGCAGTTCTGGCTGAAGCACTAGGGCTCAGGTCCCGGGGCGGCCGGGCTTGTTCGCGGAATCTCTTGCGGAAAGCGCTCCTTCATGGTCATGCTGCGCGTGCCCCTGGTGATCTTCTTCCTGGCCTCGGCGTGGGCGCAAGAGCTCTCGCAGCAGGAGCTCGACCCAGTGCTTGCGGCGGACGACGAGTGCGCCTCCGACGGCGGCGAGTCCTGTGGCGTGGAGTTGCTCCAGGCTCGCGCCTCGAAGGACGTCAAGGTGGAGCTGGCGAGCTCCGCCGTGGAGGCCAATGGGGAAGGTGGCGAGCAGCTCCTGCAGCACAACGCCACCGCCAACGCCACGGCCAACGCGTCGCAGCCGCCATGCGCCGGCAACAACGCGGCCTGCTGGATCGACATCGACTGCTGCTCCGCCCGCTGCTCGTCCACCCGCCGTTGCGCGCCGGTGCGCTGACTTCCGGGTCGCCACCCTTCTCGTTATCTCGCCCAGGCATGCTCGCAGCGTTTTGACTGGGGCCGCTTAGACTGTCGTCTGTAGCAGCGATTGCAGCGTCAAAAGACAGTCCGAGCAGCGCAGAAGCGGTGTGTGTGTGTGTCTGTGTGTGTGTCTGTGTGTGTCCGTGTGTGTATGTGTGTGTGGGGGTGGGGGACGGGGCGTGGAAAACAACAAATCAAGCCGAGAGCCAATTGTCGGGTCACGGCGGATTCGTGCGGCCTGAATGCGGCGGCAGCGCAGTCGTGGGCGTTCAAGGTTGAACCCCCCAGGCAGTCTTTGGGGACCCTAGAAGACAGCGGAGACCGTTCGAGACTGGACGGTTCACACGGTGGCAGAAGCCATGGCCCACACCTTCATGACAGGGACTTGCCGCATCTACTTAAGAGGATGCACGCCATTCCGCAGACACTCGAAGGATGGACGTAGCGAGTGCAATGTGGGCCGAAGGGAATGCCCGACTGAGGGAAAGCGTCGGCCGAGCCTGACCCGCCGAGGAATGGGACAGGGCCAGGGCGAGGACAGATCCGTTCCGGAGCGTTCCGAAACGCTCCCAGCTCGTTTCAGGAGGAGGAAGAACACACAGACACAATGAATCGTCGACTCCCAGGAAAGTAGGGGAAAATAGGGGAAGTGGGGGGGAGGACGAAAGTCCGGAAAGTATGAGAAACATGGGGGATCCTGGGATCTGTGTGTATTTATTTGTGTGTCCTTGGGCCCCTTCAGCGTTCCGTGACTCTCTGAGAAGGCCGCGGCGCTCGAGACATCTTCCAGAGCCGTCAGACCTCAGAGATTCTCGATGTAGCCGCACCCGATGGCGTCCTTGCCCTGGCCTCGTCTTGCAGCACGGCCAACCCGCATGTAGCAAGGATGGGCAACGTTCCCCTCCCGCTTTCGCTGGCCGCGCCCCGCCCGAGGTGGGCTTCCGAGGCCCCTTGCATCCTTACCGCGCATCCCTGCGACACGGGCCGACTGCAGAAGGCCAGCCGAGCTTGCCCCGCCAGGGGAGAGGCCGACGCTGGGGCCCCCATAGGGTGCCCGAGCTGGGCATCGCGGGGGCCCTCTCCAAAGAGAGGGGCCCCGCCGTCGGCGAGGCCCTCGCCAGGGAGGGGCCTCTTGTCCGGAGAGGGGCCCTCCTCCGCCTCCTCCTCCTCCTCCTCCTCCTCCCCCTCCTCCTCCTCCTCCTCCTCCTCCCCCTCTTCCTCCTCCTCCTCCTCCTCCAGTCCGCGGCGCGTGCGCCAGAGGGGAGGGCAGCAGCCGTGGCAGCGGCTCGGGCTCTGAGCCAGAACGGCGCGAGTCGGGAGGGGGAGGGAGGATCGGAGGAGGAAAAGGTACCCATACCGCTACCCTTCCCTCGTTTTCCCCTTTTTGGGCCTCCTGGGGGGCCCTCGTCGCCACCGCTGGATTCGCCTCGAAATCCTGGTCAGAACGCACCCCGGGAGAGGTCCATATGGTAGCGGTATCGGTACCTTTTGGCCCCCAAGAGGAAAGAGGGGGAAGAGCAGCGGGATTCGGTGTTTGATATACCTCCTACCCTGACACGTCGATGAGCGAATGGGCCGCTTGCGGTTCGCGAGAGGGCGTCGCGGCCGTCATTGTGGTGGGTCCAGGTCCGTCAGTTTCGGTCCCAGGCCGTTTTCACTAAGTGAGGCTTACTACATGGAGGTTTGTGCACTGCCGAGGGATGGGGGGGAGAAAGAAAGATGGGAGGAGGAAGGAGTGGGGATGAACAGCAGGAGGGCTCGAGCCAGGATGGGGGAGGGAGGGAACAGGAGGGGGGAAGGCGCAGCAGGAGGAAGGCTTTGGGAGCTTCTGGAAGGTTCTAACGTCGTCTGTGGGTGAGTCGGCGGTTGCAGGGGGGCCCAGGCTGGGGACCGCATGCGAGCACGCCCACCGAGACCATAGGTGGAGCCCTCTATGGGGCGCGATCCATGTGATGGGTCCGCCAGCAGCGCAGCAGCGGGGGACGAGGAGGAGGAGGAGGGAGGAGGAGGAGGAGGAGGAGGAGGAGGGAGGAGGAGGAGGAGGAGGATAGGGAGGAGGAGGAGGAGGAGGAGGAGGAGGAGGAGGAGGAGGAGGGAGGAGGAGGAGGAGGAGGAGGAGGAGGAGGAGCAGCCTGCTGCATGGGGTCACTGTGGGAGTGCTTGCTGCTCACACGCACGGCGCGACGTTATCGAAGAGATCGTGCGGCCCGTGCGGCTGGTTGCAGCGCTAGGCGTGACCCTCTCCTTGCGAGTTTCCTATGGGGCGCGATCCATGTGATGGGTCCGCCAGAAGATTGGCCGGGGACCGCATGCGAGCACGCCCGCTGAGGCCGTGGGTGGAGCGACCCGTGTGAGGCGTGCGCCGACGTGGACATGCGGGCAACAGCATCAGCGGCACAGTCATTGGTCATTCGTCAGAGTATCACCACAATCCCAAGGACCCAACGACACAGGAGGATTGGGATCACATGTTCCACTCTAGCGGGACGTGTTGCAATGGCAATGGCGCCAGCATTGCTCACTAGACGGACAGTGGCATCGCACCGCTATTGCTATCAGGGCTATCAGCATTGCCAATGTGCACATCATCGCAGTCATCCGTAGCAGTTCTGGCTGAAGCACTAGGGCTCAGGTCCCGGGGCGGCCGGGCTTGTTCGCGGAATCTCTTGCGGAAAGCGCTCCTTCATGGTCATGCTGCGCGTGCCCCTGGTGATCTTCTTCCTGGCCTCGGCGTGGGCGCAAGAGCTCTCGCAGCAGGAGCTCGACCCAGTGCTTGCGGCGGACGACGAGTGCGCCTCCGACGGCGGCGAGTCCTGTGGCGTGGAGTTGCTCCAGGCTCGCGCCTCGAAGGACGTCAAGGTGGAGCTGGCGAGCTCCGCCGTGGAGGCCAATGGGGAAGGTGGCGAGCAGCTCCTGCAGCACAACGCCACCGCCAACGCCACGGCCAACGCGTCGCAGCCTCCATGCGCCGGCAACAACGCGGCCTGCTGGATCGACATCGACTGCTGCTCCGCCCGCTGCTCGTCCACCCGCCGTTGCGCGCCGGTGCGCTGACTGGGTATCCTTCCGGGTCGCCACCCTTCTCGTTATCTCGCCCAGGCATGCTCGCAGCGTTCTGACTGGGGCCGCTTAGACTGTCGTCTGTAGCAGCGATTGCAGCGTCAAAAGACAGTCCGAGCAGCGCAGAAGCGGTGTGTGTGTGTGTGTGTCTGTATGTGTGTGTGTGTGTCTGTGTGTGTCCGTGTGTGTATGTGTGTGTGGGGGTGGGGGACGGGGCGTGGAAAACAACAAATCAAGCCGAGAGCCAATTGTCGGGTCACGGCGGATTCGTGCGGCCTGAATGCGGCGGCAGCGCAGTCGTGGGCGTTCAAGGTTGAACCCCCCAGGCAGTCTTTGGGGACCCTAGACAGCGGAGACCGTTCGAGACTGGACGGTTCACACGGTGGCAGAAGCCATGGCCCACACCTTCATGACAGGGACTTGCCGCATCTACTTAAGAGGATGCACGCCATTCCGCAGACACTCGAAGGGTGGACGTAGCGAGTGCAATGTGGGCCGAAGGGAATGCCCGACTGAGGGAAAGCGTCGGCCGAGCCTGACCCGCCGAGGAATGGGACAGGGCCAGGGCGAGGACAGATCCGTTCCGGAGCGTTCCGAAACGCTCCCAGCTCGTTTCAGGAGGAGGAAGAACACACAGACACAATGAATCGTCGACTCCCAGGAAAGTAGGGAAAAATAAGGGAAGTGGGGGGGAGGACGAAAGTCCGGAAAGTATGAGAAACATGGGGGATCTTGGGATCTGTGTGTATTTATTTGTGTGTCCTTGGGCCCCTTCAGCGTTCCGTGACTCTCTGAGAAGGCCGCGGCGCCCGAGACATCTTCCAGAGCCGTCAGACCTCAGAGATTCTCGATGTAGCCGCACCCGATGGCGTCCTCGCCTTGGCCTCGTCTTGCAGCACGGCCAACCCGCATGTAGCAAGGATGGGCAACGTTCCCCTCCCGCTTTCGCTGGCCGCGCCCCGCCCGAGGTGGGCTTCCGAGGCCCCTTGCATCCTTACCGCGCATCCCTGCGACACGGGCCGACTGCAGAAGGCCAGCCGAGCTTGCCCCGCCAGGGGAGAGGCCGACGCTGGGGCCCCCATAGGGTGCCCGAGCTGGGCATCGCGGGGGCCCTCTCCAAAGAGAGGGGCCCCGCCGTCGGCGAGGCCCTCGCCAGGGAGGGGCCTCTTGTCCGGAGAGGGGCCCTCCTCCGCCTCTTCCTCCCCCTCCTCCTCCTCCCCCTCCTCCTCCTCCTCCTCCTCCTCCACTCCTCCTCCTCCTCCTCCTCCTCCTCCTCCTCCTCCTCCTCCTCCTCCTCCTCCTCCTCCTCCTCCTCCTCCGCCGCGCAGGAGGCCCTCTTCCAGAGAGAAAGCCCGTCGGCGGAGGCGGCACGGGTGGCGGGCCCGCCCCCGGGGGGAGGGCCGGGTCGCACGGCGCAAGGATCGACGGGGGCAGCGCTGGTCTGCACGGACGGAATGGGCACGGAAAGAATGGGTACACGGCCCAGCAGCGGATCTTGTTCATATTTGAACAGGACTCGCTGTCCACGCCGCCGCGGCCTGTGTCCATTCGAGACAGAAGGCCGCCTGCCCAACAGCGGCCGCTGTTGGTTTGGGACAACATTTGTTGTTGGGGGGGGGGGGGCACAGGCACTCCGTCGTTGTCGATTCGAGGCTCGGGGTCTTCAGTAGGTTTCGCCGGTTCGCGGCGGCTCTCCAGTTCAGGCAGGGCTGGGCCTAGAGGGTGTTTCTGGTGATTTTGGTGGGCCGTGTTCGTTTCGACTTCGTTTTGTGGTACAGGAAGACTCGAGACAAAAGCGAGGGAAAACGAAAACAAAACGAAAACGAACAACACCGTTTAGGTTCAGCCCTGCTCCAGCCCCGGGGCGCGTTCCAGCAGCTGCGCCTCTCGACCACGCGCAGAAGGGGGTAGGGGGAGGGGGGGAGGCTGCTTAGAAGCACCCTTGCTTCTCAGAAGGCGCGGGCCTTATCTATAGATGAAAGGCTGGCGCCTTCTAAGAAGTAACCTCCTTCTAAGAAGCTTTCCCCCCTCCCTCCACCCCCTTGTGCGCACTGCCAAGCCTCGCCGAGGGCGTTCCGGGGGCGCTGGAATCGGTCCAAGCGGCCGCCGGAGGCACGAGCTCAGACCCGAAAGCCATCGGGAGGTAGGCATAGGGTTCAGTCGGGCCCGCCCCTCTACAGGAGGAATATCCAAAAATAGTAAAAAAATAGTCTGGGAACCATTCTCTTAGTATGCTTTTAACCATTTGGGGGTATTTTTTTCCGTATTTTTCATTGTTCGCCGAAAATCCCCCTGTAGGGGGGCACGCCCGACTTGAGCATAAGGGGGGAACGCATCAACCCACAATCGCCCATGGGTCGCCGAGAAGGGCCCGACGGCCCCAGCCTGCCCAGGAAGGTGTGGGTTCGCTGCTGGAGGCCTACGGCCGATCCATCGGCGACGTCTCGCCGATTCCAGGCCAATGCTTCCCTCCTCTGCCAGTCCCCCCCCCTTCTCGTTGCCCTCCATATCGGAGAGGCGTGAAGCTCCGACTACGGCAAGCTCCCGTCGCGTCGATCCGCCGCGACCCCACCGCGAGCGTTCAGGCTTTAGCGCCGCCGGTGGCCCAGGAATCGCCAACATGGAGTGATCTGGCGAAGGGGAAGCCGCCGATCGTGCAAGGTCGAGCGATCCACCGGTGTCAGAATCGGGCCGGACGACAGGGGGGGGGATTGGGAAAGGGGGGGTTACGAAAGTTGCTGCATGCAGCTGGTTTCGGCCCCACCAAGGGGCCCATTCCTCGATACATGGGCGCCTCCCGGCGCCGGAAAATCAGTTGCGTGAGCTGATTCTCAAACCTCCCCCTTTGCTATCCCCCCTTTTCGCCCGACACGACAGAAGCCCACGCGCAGGGCGTCACGGCACAAACTCGCCGTGCGCCGGAACTCGGCTCCGCCGACGGTTTTTGACGAGCCCGTCCTGGATGTTGATGGCTCACTTTCGGTGGGATGTTTGCAGCGGGAGTTCGCGTCAGATTTAAGATTGGGTCTCGGCATCTTCTTGACGGCCTCGCCAGGCCAACCCGAGTCCCCCGATTCCGAATCTTATATCTGCCCGATCATACAGTCAAGTCGCACGGCAAGGATCAGCAGCTTTCCAAGGCTGCCCTTGTGTATTTGCCCCCTCGGCCCATCCTTGGCGACTCTCGCTGGCCAACCCCTCTCGAGAGCGCCAGCAGGGCCCTCTCGGGCCCTCGCATCCTCACCGCGCATCCTTCTCGTGCGACTTGACTGTAAGCCTCCTGTGAGCTTGGGACGCCCGCGCTGTTGTCTTGGGTCGACGCCGAGCCCCCCTCGGCGTCGCTCCCCGGGCGCCGCCCCCAGCGCGCCACGCGCGCCAGGGGTCGGGGGCGGCTAAGAGGGGGGTGATGACAAGGAGGGGGGGGGGGGATGTCATGGCGGGGGCCATGACATCTCCACAGATTTCATCGCGCCTCTTCTTATTTCGAGACGTCCCTGGCCCCCCCCCGCCCCTGGGCCGCGCCCATGCCGCCGGCCATGCTTTGCGCCCCCCCCTCTTGGACGCCCCCCTCTTGGCGGCCCCCGAGGAGGGTCCAGCGCCGACCCAAGAAGTCCGCGCGGACAAAATTGTGTGTTGTGCAGTTGCGAAGGCGGCGGAAGCAAAAGTGAGACGCCAAGCTTCCGTTCGCTTTGGGCCGGCCACTTGCGCCGCCGTCCAGTCTCAGTCCAGCGTCCAACACTGGCGTCGCCAAACTATTGGAGTTGGCCGTGGGGGATGGCGGACAGTCGAGGAGCCAAAACACCTACATAACACGCACACATACACATTGTCGTGGGTGTGCGCGGATTTCTTGCGTCGGCGCTGGACCCCCCGAGCGCCAGGGGCGGCGCCAGATGCGCTGCCGGGAGGATCCAGCGCCGCTTCGCGAAATCCGCACGGACCTCGCCTCCGAAAGCTGATGTTCGTGCGGATGTCCCGCGCGCGCGCCCTTCTTCTTTCCTTGCCCTCCGACGTTCTGCGCCTCGGCGCTGCGCGCGAGGCCGCGACGCAAAAAGTCGGTCGGCGTTGTGTGCGAGGGCGCGACGCCAGAAGATCGTGCGGGATGGTTCGAGGCTTCCCCTCTCTCTAGATAAAAGGAGGGGGGCGGGAGAGGAAAAGCAGGGACGCGGAGCAGGGATGGGGGGTCCAGCCAGCCAGACCGAGCGAGAGTCACGGCGCGCCCCGGGGGGCCAGCCGTCACGTCACCCTGGAGATCGGACACCGAGCAGCGGCGAAGCGTCTTGGCTTGCCTAGGAGCCGACAGGCACACCGAAGAATGCTCCCAGAACCATCTGCGGCCTGCACGGGATGTTCTTAGAACATGCCTGGCCGAGACGGCCTTCTTCTACCACATCGGGCCCAGGTTCTAAGAACCGTGCTTCTGTTTTTGGGACGCTTTCGAGCTAGCAGGACATTCCGTGGTAGGCCGATAGGAATGCTTGGACTCCTCCTCCTCCTCCTCCTCCTCCTCCTCCTCCTCCTCCTCGTTCTCCTCCTCCTCCTCCTCCTCCTCCTCCTCCTCCTCCTCCTCCTCCTCCTCCTCCTCCTCCTCCTCCTCCTCCTCCTCCAGCGGTCGGGCGGGCATTTCACCAACTGCACCGCTGGGATCAGCCCGTGCGCGGCATGGCAGGAGAGCAGCCGTGCAGGGCAGGGCTGCAGTTCCTCGGGAGCTCAGCGGCAGCCCTCCCGTGAGGAGCGGGAGGCGGTGCTGGAGCCCAACCAGTCTCGGCAGTGGCAGTGGCAGCAGGGTCTGTTGCCGCTGGGCTCGGACGGGCCACCCTCGGCTACAGTGCAGAGGTCAGCTCGTGCGAGAAGGCTGCAGCCCCGTATCGGGGCTTCCTGGAGGTCTGGCTCGGCTCGGGGACGGCCCGAAGCGGCCCGACCTCCCACGGCACGAAACCGTTGGGCGTCGTGACCCGTTCTGGCCCGCTTGATCCCGCTCAATCCTCCTCCTCCTCCTCCTCCTCCTCCTCCTCCTCCTCCTCCTCCTCCTCCTCCTCCTCCTCCTCCTCCTCCTCCTCCTCCTCTCTTCCCCCTCCCCCCTCCTCCACCTTCTCCCCCTCCTCCACCTCCTCCTTCGAGACGCCACCATGTTCGGATCCAGGGTTCCTAGAGTCGAATATTTGGGTGGCGATGCGATCCGCGAAGAGCAGCCGAGCGGTTCGCGCGCGAGGTGAGCGAAGCGAGCGATTGTCTTGGATCCTCAGAAGGAGAATACAGTAAGCGTGGGCGTCTGGCTTTTTATTTAACTTGCGACCCCAGACACCAACACACGTTGCGAAAGCAGGGCGCGTGCTGCATCTTCGTGTGCATAGTCATTGAAGTGTTGTTTGTGCCCCCCCCCGCGTGGCCAATCGGCTTCCTCTCCTCCTCCTGGGGGAGGGTCCCCTGAGATGCTTGAGGTCCATTGGCACCTCTGGCGCTCACCCACTGCTAAAGGACTTTCGCATAGTATGTGGAATCCCGTGCGGTTGGCCTTCGAAGTGTTGTAAGAGCGCCTAGTTGCGAGAATGATACCTAGGGGCCAACCAAGCTTGGATGCAGAAGCTGCCCGTGAGTGGCCAGCACGGATGATGTGGAGCAGGAAAAATTAACTGGAGGGTATTGGAGGTCTCCAAGGGCTCCAGAGGGGGAAGGCGGAGGAGGGAGCGGGGGGAGAAGGAGAGGGAGGAAAGAGGTGATGGTGGAGAAGGAAGAGTGCGGGAGAAAAAGGGGCCATAGGAGGAGCAGCATGAGTAGGCTGTATGAGATCGAAGCAGATGGCACTTTCGAATGCAAACCGACCGATGTGGCACTCAGGACTTGCATGCGACGGAGCCCACGACGGGCACGACCAGCATGTAGCAGGTGGCTGGACAGACTATAAGTTTGCGACGGCAAAGCTGCTTGCGAGTTGACCGTCTGTCAACTGCCATGTCTCATTGCCACTCTTTGTGCGCCTCCTTGTTTTCATGGTCAATGTGTGAATGTCGTCTCGGGCACGACAGCGAAGTCGCGTCATTTCTGCTAGCTGCTCCTTCGGGCACTCACGCACGTGTTGCCCGCGATGCTGTTGCACAGATCGTCATCAACGGGATCAGCAGCGCCACTTCCCACCCCAGATCACAACGCCAACGCACGCGAAATATGTGTGCGCAGTCCCCTTTGCCAGCGATTCCAGCGCGTGCGCGAGCTCTGAGATCTGTCAGCTATCTCTTGACGTGCAATGCTTTCCACTTGTTGCTGCCGGTGTATATACAGATATAATCTGCACGCATCATGGTCAGCCAGCAGGGGGTTGTGGCGCTCGGTCGGCGTTGTGTTTGTGTGTGGTGTGCTTTGGAGACGGACGCAGCGCAGCAGCCTGCCACTGGGGCCTTTGGTGGAGCTCCCTACAGGGCCGCGAAAATTATGTAGTGTGCCGAAACGTGCGTGACTCCCACATGCGACCGTTGCCACTGGGGCCTTCGGTGGAGCTCCACATGAGGCCACGAAGCGCGTGAGGGGTGTGCCAAAACGGGCGTGACACCCACATGCGATGCCGCGTCAAAGCCTTCCGTGCCAGTGGATCGGGTGATGCAGGGCATTTCCTCGCGCATTCGGGGCCTCGAGCAGGCTGAAAAATCATGATGTCACGCAAGAGCGATCGACGCAGACAGCGCAAGCATCGTTCGGAACGACTCAGGCTCATGTGTATGGAAGCTCGCGTGAGCGATGCAGTGTCTGCTGGCCACCCACGAGCACCCGGAAACCAAACGACGACCTGGCCGTTGCAGAATCCGAGTCGATGATAATAACAAAAGGATGACGAGCGCGCATTATCTTCACGACTTGTTTTGCAGCCAGCTGCTAACTGGACACACGCACGAAACGCTGCGGGGGCCTCTCTGAACCGCGTGCAACCTCGATCTGCGAGTTTCGCGGAAGTTCGCGAAGGTTTGCCCTGTTTGTCCATGACGCCGAGCGGAAGAACACCCTCCGCGCCGCAAGCGCTCAGAGGGGCCGAGACGAGCGCATCAGCATCCTTCTTCGCTCGTTCGGACTGAGTGAAGGTCCCCAGTTTAGTCAGGACTCGCGCTCTTTTTTGTTACCCAGTACAGAGCACCCGAGCTGGTCGCGGGCGAAGCGCGCGGCCCACCTCCGAGGAGGGTGCCCAGAGTGCCAGCGTGAGTTCACAGCCACAGCAAAAAAAAATGTAATGTGGTGCACCCCGGACCGGACATCTGCGGAATCGGCGTTCTGAAGTTTACATCAAATAAGTACCAAGATTGCGACGAATACGTGCGAAATCTGCGACTACCAATCAGCAACACCACGATTCACATGGCTTGGATTAAGTCCGGTTCCATCCCGAAATACGCGCCATAATCCGGACACGATTGTGATGTTCGCTCACATGTCACTAGTCACTAGTCCGAAACATGCCCTTGCCCTGGGCCAGCCAGGGTGAGATGGGCCCCATCAGAAATCAACGCTTGCCGCTGCGATGAGACAGCCAGTCATTGAACGCACGGTTGCGTCTTGACGCGCGGAGATTGCATTGGCGCGCGCGCGACGAGCTGAGCGAGCACAAGGGCAAGCGCCCAACCCCGCAGGGGCGTCTAGGGGTATCAACTGTGTGCGCGCGGCTCAAAGCCGCATGCGAAGGGCGGCGCCTGGCCCATGCGATTATAAGAAGGCATGTCTCGCATCGCTATCCTGGCAATCAATGCGTTCGTGACTACCTTCATGAACGACGTTGCAACGCAGCGCCCCCAGAAGGGTTGCGACAGCCGCATCGGGGACAGCCCTGGGGGGGTTGCCATGTGCTGGTGAGCGTTGCTGGATTGTTCACCACCTGGGCTACGTGCGGGTATGGACCAGAGCCGAAGAAACATGCCCAGACCTAGCCGGAGTATTGTTCAGACACCTTTGCCAGGTATGGGTAATATGCTTCCTGGCTTCTGAGGCAACCACAATTTGGCCGTCCTGGGGGCGGCATCTGGCGACCTGGCCCAGCGCACGGGGGCGCGATGCCTCGGATTGTCGCGCACAGATGTTCGCCCAAAAATTGTTCGCAAGCGCTCCGCAACGCCTGGATATGGATCCTTAAGGTTGCACCGCTGGATGAACTGGCTGTTCAAAGACGCCCTAAGGTGGTTCAAAAAGGCGTTCCAAAAAAGTGAGCGCCAAGATGTTCTCGTCTTTCTCGGAAGACGATGTCACGGAGCTGCTTCTGGAGAGACAACAGCACAAAGGCGACACAAGTTTCCAGCTGTAGTAAAGTTCGAACTGCGCTGCCTTTCAAGGTTTTGGTGCCCATCGGCCGTGGTTGCGGTATCCATCGACATTGGTTTCGGTATCCGTCAACACTTGTTTCCATATCCATCGCCCCCGATTTCGGTATGCATCGACCCCGGTTTCGGTAGTTGTTTCGGTAACCGTCGACATTAGTTGCAATATCCATCGAAATACTAGTTGTAAACATTTCCGTATCTACAGACTCCAGCTTTCGTACCAAACGGCACTATCTCTCATTTGTTTTTTTGTTTCGAGTCTTTGGTACTCGAATAAATTGCGAAATATCTACACGAATTACGCATTATGCATTAATCGTTATGTGTGTCCGTTTCGTTTTGTAGATTTATTGAGCAGCATGGACACGTTTGCTATCATTGATATATAAATATGCCATTGTCAAGCAAGCTTCGGCAGTTCAAGATTTGCAATCAATGCTTGGTAATACCAATGGCAATCTTCTTCTGTTCAAAAAAAGTGTCGGCCCGCAATAATCTAATTGCAGCAGCGCGTTCACCGGCCCGTAGGTTTCGTAATACTTCCCCTTGGTTTCGTTATGATACTGCGTGCGGCACTGTTTTTCTTCATGGTGCACCGTACTTCGTTTTTGTGCCTTCGAAATGTGTATGTACATACGTTTCCCTATGTATAATCTCCTGGATTCTCGTTTTTTATATATTTGGCCCTTTTCTGTCCCGGATTTGTCCTCTGCTCGTGGTCCGTGTTTGTCAAGACTTTTTCTGTTGGCACTGGCAGCTTGTAATAGGACTGGAGAAAAGCTAGAATTCTCCCATCATACCTCCTCCCTATTTATATGTATGTCTATATACAACAATTATGAAATCATTCACCCAGAGGTGCGTAGGACACTGAATTCAAATGCACGCGAGCCCGTCACATGCGGCCTTACTTGGCCTCATATATATATATGTGTATATATATACATATATATATATGTGTATATGTGTGTGTGCGCACATATACGTGTATATATACATACATATATATAGAGAGGGAGATAGAGAGAGAGAGATATGGTATCCCCCCTCCACATGATCATACATGATCTTCTTCTCCCCCCCCACATGATCATACATGTTCTTCTTCTTATTCTTCTTTTTCTTCTTGCTCATCGTCGCTCCTCCTCCTGCTCCTCCTCCCCCTCCCCCTCCTCTTCGAACGCCTTCGAAGACCTGCGAGACATGATCGGCATTGCGAAAAATAGCAACCCCCCTTGGATAAAAACAGAAAAAAACAACAAAAAACAAAAAACAAAGAAACCACAAAAAAATGTGATTTCGGGAGAACCTTGCCCCCCCCCTAGAAGTTCTCCCGAAATCATAGCTCTTGAGATGTGAATGCATATATATATATATATATATAAAAATATATACACGCACTCACATCTCAAGACTGATCCGCAAACCGAATGAGGTGAAACAAGGGGCGCCAGGAGCCAACTAAGCAGCATCAAATGAAGAAGGCAAGAATAGAAAAAAGACGAAGACAGAGGGGGCTACCGCCCATTCCAATTCCCGCTTTTCTCGGCGGTTCCCGAATCACAGACCGAGCGTTGAATCACAGACCGCGCGCGCCGAATCACAGACAGCACATATTGAATCACAAACTGCGCGCGCCGAATCACAGACAACACACATTGAATCACAAACCGCGCGCGCCAAATCACAGACCGCGCGCGCCGAATCACGAACAACACACATTGAATCACAGACCACGCGCGCCGAATCACAGACATCACACACTCAATCACAAACCGCGCGCGCCGAATAATCACAGACAACACACATTGAATCACACACCGCGCGCGCCAAATTACAGACAACTTGCATTGAATTACAAACCGCACGCGCCGAATCACAAGCAGCACACATTGAATTATAAACCGCACGCGACGAATCACAGACAACATCATACATTGAACCAGACCGCACGCGACAGTGACTTGCTGATCCGGCCAGCTGATCCGGTGACCTGGTGATCCGGCGACCCAGTATTGTGGACAATTGATTTGGTGATTTGGCTGATCCGTCAGATCCGGCTGATCTGGTGATCAGGCCATTGGATCCGGTGATCGGTGACGTATGCGGTGATCGGGTTGATCCGGTGATCCGGTGACGTATGCGGCGGTGGCACTACTCTCGGTGGAGCTCCTTATGGGGCCATGAAGTGTGCGAGGAGTGTGATGCATGCGGGCGGCGGCATTGAACCCTCGTTGGAGCTCCTTATGGGTCCACGAAGCGTGTGAGGGGTGCGCCGACGTGAATGTGGGTGACGCATTCGGGCGGTGGCACTTGCGCTTTCGATGAGCCTCCCTAGGGGGCACGGAACGCGTGAGGGGTGTGCTCATTTTGCGCATGCGGACGGTGGTCGCTGGGCCTTCGTTGGGGCTTCCTATGGGGCCACGGAGCGTGTGAGGGGCGTGGCGAAATGGGTGTGGGTGGCGCATGCGGGCGGTGGCATTGGCCTTGGGTGGAGCTCCCTATGGGGCCACGAAGCGTGTGAGTGGTGTACCGAATTGGGTGCGGGTGATGCATGCAAGCGGTGGCACTAGATCTTTCGGTTGAGCGGGGGTATTGTGGCTTTCGGTGGAGCTTCTTATGCGGCCTCAAAGCGTTTGAGG